ACACGGGTCCGAGTTGGGGAGTTTCCAAAGGATAGGCCGGAGAAACAATGGAGTGAGGGGGACCCTGGCGTGAGCGTGTGTGTGGTACTGGATTTAGAAAACTACGTGCGTGACGGAAAAGAATGAATTAATGGGTCATTCGAAACGTGAAGTACAGTGAAAGGGGGCATGTATGAAGTCTTCTGCTTGGGTGTCAGCGGTCCATAGGACGCAAGTGCCGTCATGGGACTTAAGGACAATTTGAGAATTCGAGAGGAAAACGGACTAGAGAAGGCAAAGAGAGGCAAAGAAATACGAGTTCGGTCTTGAATTAAAGCACAGTGTAGGATAGGTGCACTAGAGGGGTAGTCGTCTCTTAATCCATCCAGGATGATTGGATTTTTTTTAGAAAGTGGGTTAGTCTTAGTCTTGGCCCCTTGGTGAGACATGCAAGCCAGTCTTTCAACAATTTTATTTCTATTTGTAGTCCATTTTATTATTGTAAGGCAAAGCTGTAATATTTGTTCTAGATCAGCTCAGCAAGTCTGTTGTACTATACATAATTTCTCTGAATTTACTGAAGCAGGAGAGGACACATTACCAGAAATATCTTGCTAGGAGTGAGGTCAGTGATACTGCAGAGCTCAAGGTGTTTGGACTGGAAAGTAATGAATAGCTGCGACAAAAATCTAAATTGTTCATCCTTTGTTAGAATTTCAGTTTCCCACTGAGAAATGTTCACAAACTATCTAATTCTGGCTTTGTACTTGGGGAAGAGAATTGTTTTTGTTTTGAGAAATTGTCCAGTGATGCTAATTCCTAACGATAAGCTGCCTCAATACCTTCCAGTTTGAGTTAAGATGATTTGGGGATACTGTGAAAAAGTATTTCTGGGTTGTGGGATTTGTATCCACCCACCCTCCCGCTTTTTGGAGGGTCTTACTCTGTAGCCCAGACTAGCTTGGAACCCACTGTGTAACCCAGTTGCTCTTGAAATGGTAGTCTTTTGCCTCATACTCACCAAGTACTGGGATTACAGGTGTGAGCTACTATGGTAGACTTGTATTTTCTTGATACTTGTATTTCCAGATTGAATCTGATATAACACTGACTGCCATTATCATTACATATTCATAGATGTCTCTGTTAAACTTTTCATTTGTGAGGTGTTACATTTTGCTGACTCATCTAAACTAAAATTTCTGGGCAGTCACCAATTTATATTTTCCAGCAATGTTTCTGATAGCAGACAGCATTAGACTACCTTATAAATACCTACAAATCATCATCTAATTATACTTTTAAAAATTCTGGCTGGTGTGGTGGTGGTGGTGCACACCTTTAGTCCCAGCACTCTGGAAACAGAGGCAGACAGATCTTTGTAAGTTCAAGTCCAGCTTGGTCTACTGAGTGACCAGTAGACTACTGAGTGACCAAGGCCAGTGCTGTTACACAGAGAAACCCTGTCTTGGGAAAAAAATTCTTACTTATTATTTTAAATCATGTGTGTCATTGTATTTGTGCATGTGAGTGAAGTATCTCCAGAGGCCAGAAGAGGGGGTTGGATTCCCTGGTACTGGAGATAGTCAGTTTTGAGCTTCCTGAAGTGGGTACTGGGAATTGAACTCTGATCTTCTGGAAGAACAGTACATGCTCTTAGCCACTAGAGCTATTTGACAGGTCTCTAAATTGTACTTAATTTTTTTTTCTTTTTAAGATGATATCAGTCTATATGGAAAGCTGGTTTGTAATTCGTAATAACTGACTCTGTCTCAGGCTCCAAAATTCTGGGATTACAGGTAAATGAAGCAATCATGCCTGGCTAAATGGTGCTTTTATAGGGTTTCACTCTAAAGCCCCGACTCCCTCGGATCTTTTTGTGATCCTCTCTTACCTTAATCTCTCAGTCGTTGGAATTTCAGGAATGAATTGGTGTATCCTTTTCAAAAAAAAAAAAAAAATCTGTGTGTGTGTGTGTGTGTGTGTGTCTGTCTGTCTGTCTGTCTGTCTGTCTGTATGCTGGAGGCCAGAAAAGGGTGTCAGATCTTCTGGAGCTGGAGTTACAGACAGCTGTGAGCTTCCTGATGTGGGAGCCCAACTCTTGGAAGAGCTCCTAACTGTTGAACCATCTCTCAAACTCCTACTCCTATCTTGGCTGTTGTAAAGCAGTATGAACTGGTTGAAACTTGAGTCTGATATGATGATAGTAATTTGTTTCCTCTTGTTTTCCGATTCCTTCCATCTCTGTTTTTTTGGATATGGTCTTGTAATAAAGCCCAGGTTCTCCTAAATCTTTTTGCCTTAACCTCCCATATGTTGCGTGTACTACCACATCTGACTACAGCAAACGATGGTAGAATAATTCCATCAGTAGAATTTTGGAAAAGTTTATTGCTCTTTTGGTTTTAAAGTTTCTGGGTTCTAGTTTTAGTGCTAAAACCATCTCACTAAGATTTGTCTTGTAATCACACTCACAAGATCTGTTTAGTCTAGTTGAAGTAGTCTGTAGTGTAGTGCACTCGCTCTTACAGAAGTCAAGATAGCCAGTTGCAGAGCCAGAACTAATTATCTTGGGGAAACAATTGAAAAGTGCTCAGTGCTCAAGTGCTCTCCAAGCACCTGTTGATCCCGCAGTTGATACTGGCATTGCTTCTAAATATAGACAGGATACTTACTGCTAGAAACCCAGAATGAATAGAACAGAGAAACAGCTGGGGCCTGAGGGAGGAGCTAGCTGTAGGCTACTGGTCAAAACATCAGCACAGTCCATGGGGAGGCTAATAGGCTACCGAGGCTGGTTACTAACAGAAGGGGAAGGGAGGAGGAAAGAGAAGGGAGGCGGGGAGGGGAAAGTATCTTCTTTTGTTGAAGTTTTATGTATTCCAGGTGCTAAACTATGTAGTTACTCAATATTGGTATCAACAGAAATTTATATTGACTATTTTTTAATTGCTACTTGTAGTTTCCCATTGTAGAACCACCATGTTAAAGCTGGGGATGAAAAAGACACCACTTGTTTGGATCACTTTACTTCTCTTTTAGAAGTACATCTGCTTATATCAGTCTTGCTGCTTTCTCTGGAGACTGGAAGGAAAAACTTTTGTTTGTTCTGTTTCAGGGAAGGAGAAGTCCATTATTTATGTGACCAAAAGACCTTGTAGAGTAGGTTAGCTGCTTAGTGTGTGTCATGAGGATGGCCTGTCTGTCCACCCACTTTGTACCAAGGGCCTGACTTATTGGGAAAATCATCTGGGCTCTAGACAGCAAAGCATTACCACTTTTCTTGATGTTTTGCCACAAAGGGTTTATTCTTTCTTGATTGATTTATTTTTTTATTACTATGGTAAAATATACATCCAGGTCAGTCAGGTCTACACAGCGAGACCTCATCTCAAACAAGCAAGCCACACAATTTTACTATTTTATTTATTTATTAAACTAGAATCAGATTAGAGGACATTTTAACCATTTTAAATGTACAGACCACAGCATTAGGCACTTTCACATGGTTGGACACTATCAGATGTCCTGTGAACTTTTTTCTTCTGAAAGGGAAACTATCAATGGGTATCAAACATCAACTCCTCATTCTTTCCTGAGCCTCTGTCAACCATCATTCTCCTGTTTACCTCCATGAGTTTGACTAGTCTGTGTATTTCATGATAATGGAATCCTGTATTTATTCCCCCCTTTCTCCTGCATACGTGTGTGTGTGTGTGTGTGTGTGTGTGCGCGCGCGCGCATGTGCCCTGGGGATTGAATTTGGAGTTACATTCACTATACCATTGAATTCCTGGGTTCAAATAAATAAGCCTCTTGCCTTATTCCCTAGGTAGCTGAGACCAGGTGCTCACTACTGCAGCCTGCCATGCTGCATTGTTTATACATCCTCAGTGGACATTTACATTGCTTTTTGTCTTTGGGCTATTTTGAATAGTATCTACTCAAGTTCTTTCAGTTTTTAGTGATATTGCTGAATCAAGCCAGGTGAGGTGCTTGTGCCCTCAATCCAAAACTCTGGAGACTGAGTCTTGAGGACTGCCTCTCTAGTTTCAAGGTCAGCCTGAGCTATAGCACTAGACCATCTCCCAAAACATTACTGCAACAACAAAGAACATGTAGCCCAGACAGACTTCAACTTTAATATGCAGCGTATTTGAGTTCCTGATCCTCCAGTCAGTACTATGCTTGTTATAAGCATTTGCCACTCTACCTGGCTTTTTGTTTGTTTTGTGAGACAAGATCTCCCTCTGTAGCCCAAACTGGCATGGAATTCAGTGTCTAGGCTTTGTGTTCATTTGTTCTGAGACAGGGTCTCCCTGTGGAGCCCTGGCTGTACTGGAGCTCAATATGTAGATCAGGCTGGCCTGGAACTCACAGAGGTCTGCCTGCCTCTAACCTCATTAGCACTGGGATTAAAGGTGTAAACCACCATGGCAGTCATCCAGGTTGGCCTTGAGCTCAATATTGCCCTCTTACTTTTCCCTTCCAGACATGTGCCTTCCTCTCTGCATTGAATGTTTTGAGGAAGCTTAGTTATTTCAGAATGGTAATTTCAATACCTGCTCAACTGAATATGGCATTCCACCTTATGTATAAGGGTGGTGCTTGTTTAAAACTTTGTCTATACTGGCAGAACACTTGTAGAAATGATTTCAAAGGAAATGTTTTGATCACCTTTCTAATGTAGAAGGAACCATTTATGTTATGCAGATCTTTTTATCCACATATGCAAATGTGATGCCATTTTCAGAGTGTTGTATGTATGTATGTATGTATGTATGTATGTATCTATCTATCTATCTATCTATCTACCTGCCTACCTACCTACCTACCTACCTACCTACCTACCTACCTACCTAGTGTCAATAGTGGAGTGGAGAAAATTTCCGATACACTTGCTTGGGTATACTTTTTTCTTCTTGTAAACAGGTTTTACATGTATCAGTTGCTGGTTACTGTTGATGTTTTGTTTGTGTGTTTGTTTGTTTGTTTGCTTTGAGACAGGGTTTCTCTTTGTAGTTATGGCTGTCCTGGAATTCATTCTTTAGATCAGGCTTGTCTCAAACTCAGATCCATCTGCCTCTACCTCCTGAGTGCTGGCATCAAGATGTGCTCCACCAACACCAGGCCTGCTATTGATCTTTTATATCTAGTTCATTCATTGAAAATGATCTGACTCCATATGCTTGCACTTTTTTGTTCAGTTGTGTTTTTTGTTTTTAGACAAGAGTCTTACTGTGTAGTCTAGGCTGGTCTGTCAAGGCTGGCCTGGAAACTAGAAACAATCCTTCTGCCTCAGTATCTTACCGATGTATGCTGCTACACCCAGCTACTTCAAATATTTGTCATAGTTAGCTGGAATGCTTGAGCAGAACAGGAAGTTTTCCATTTTCTTTCTTTCCATGAGGATGAGTTGTCACATAATACCAAATATAAAGGTTGAAATAGCTATACCAAGCTGGGCGGTGGTGGTGCAAGCCTTTAATCCAGCACTTGGGAAGCAGAGGCAGGCGGTTTTATGTAAGTTCAAGATCAGCCTGGTGTACAAGAGCTAGTTCCAGGACAGCCTCTAAAGCCACAGAGAAACCCTGTCTCAAAAAAGCCAAAAAAAAAAAAAAAAGAAAATAACTATACCAAAATGTTCCTAAGGATGGTCTCACCTTCTATTTTATTTTTCTAAATGTTCTTTGGAGGTTAATTATCCCTACATCTTGCCTATAGGTTCATACGATGTTTGCCTGGAGCTTTGTGGAAACTTAGTGAGGTTACACACACACTGTAGAGGGGTCTGTCTGAAGCTCAGGCTAACTGCTTGATAGTGGAATTGGTCCTGAGCTATTTTACGTATTTGAGACTCATAAACCCTTTGTTCCTAGGTTGCTGACTAGTGAGGATTCACCAGGGGCCAGCATTTACTGTCAGTGTTCCCTCACAGCACGGCAGCTAGTAGTAGGACTGGTGGTTTTTTTGTTTGTTTGTTTTTGTTTTTCGAGACAGGGTTTCTCTGTGTAGCTTTGGAGCCTGTGCTGGCACTCACTCTGTAGATCAGGCTGGCCTCGAACTCAGAGATCCGCCTACCTCTGCCTCCCCAGTGCTGGGATCAGAGTCGTGCACCACCAACTCCCGGCAGGACTAAGTTTTAAAGTGTGCTTCATTGACTACACAGTCTGTGGAAGCCCCAGGCCTCTAAGACATTCTGCAGGATGAAGATATAGCCTAGCTTAAAGTTATTTTCTGTAGCCAGTGTCCTGTGACAAATTTGTGGTTAGGTACAAGTTGATTACAAGTTTTGGGTTTTTTCACAAGTTGCATGAGGCTTTTTTACTGGCCTAGACCCTGAGTTAACATTGGATTGTTGGTAAGATGGAGTCTTTTGACATTACTCAGTTAGCAGAATGACATGTTGATATTGAGGAGGAGGTTTAGGGTAAGACCATTGTATAATGTATTTGAGTGAGGATATATATATATGTATATATATATATATACATATATATATATAATTGAAAGAACAGTTTAAACTTAGAAATACTATACTGTGTTATTTCTTCTTTTTGGCCTGGGTAGCAGTGAAAACATCAGTTTGTAAAACCTGCAGTGTCTTCTGTGTTGAATACTTGGATCTGTTTGGTGGTAATTGGCTTGCTACTGTTGTAAGCTTACTCTTGATCGTAGAACACTACTCTCCCTTGAATTACCCACTTGGTCTATGATTATAGCTTGTTGATGTGGTTAGCACACAGCTGGCTTTTGCTGGCTTATTGTTACTCAGATTCTAAGTACGCATTAGTGTGTA